AAAGCTGTTGTTGCTTCAGTTGCTGACCATCCACTGAAATCGTTTGATTATAGATCTGAATTTCTTATTACCTCCGCCAGGAGGTTATGTAATCATCTGGGTTTGTATGTGTGTATGTATGTATATGTGTGTGTGTGTGTGTGTGTTTGTCTGTGAGCACGATAACTCAAGAAATACCAAACATATCCGTACGAAATTTTGTGAGTGCATTTCCCATCGGCTAAGGAAGAACTGATTAATTGGTTGAATTTGGTTAAAAATTGAATGAGAAATAACAAAAGTTTGTCTTGCTTTTCCCGGTCAATTAAATAAAACTTTATACTGAATGCGTAATTAGGACGTGCATAATATATGCACCAGCCATTCAAATTCTAACAAGACGCCGACTCGGCGTTAACCTCGGATAGGGAATCGTCTTGTAAATATCCAAAAATTGTATAAATCACGATAGTTTAATAGTTCACTAGTATAAATGGTGAATCAGTTAATCAAAGCTCCGTTTTAATATTTTATTGACAATAATTACTGGCCCTCATCAAACCTATTGTTTTCTCTCTGCATTATATCAGCGAAAGTCGAGAAGTTTTCATTTAACGTTCTACTGAAAAACGGGAGCGGCCTTTTTGGCTGTATAGGGAAATTCCGGCTCAGGGGTAAATGTTTATACGCGTCATATTCTATGTACGCGTTAAAATAGCACACAACATTATTAAAAATAATGCAGCGTGCATCAGTGCACACAGACATTATTAGCAATAATGCATCTTCGTCACCCTGACATGTACACGCGATAACGTGAACATCCCAAGATGAGAAGGTGACAGTGCTAAAGGCCCCCCATACGGTGTCGTCGGGTGCCTGAAGCACTGTTGGAAACGGTCGCTGTGAGAGTGTGAGTCTTTTCAGTTCAATTTTATAGAGAAATAGTTTCGTTTGCGCTTGTGGGATTTTATCCTAGATATACGCATGTGCAGAATACACCATAAGTTCTATTCCCGTGTTTATCCAATACGCTATTTGAGTAAGCCTTATCATTAATGATAATATGTAAACTAGAACACTATAATTGACCTCCGCTTGTGGAGATTTTAATTTAGGGCGATTAATTAAACTGAAATCTGTTCTATCACAATGCACTACAGTGCCTATGGTTATGTCTATATGCATGTCCTCACAAATGTCTAGTGTAACGTTGGATAGGTTCATTGTCATACGGTCCCGACAAGCAGCAACGTACAGTAGTCTTCCAGCCGAAAATAATTACTTTTGATTCGGGTCAGTAATTATAATAGATAACAAGTGAAAGTTGGCCGCGGTATTCCCATGCTATGCATACGATGTATTGTACATTATATCAACATATACTCGAGAATAGTTGTCGAGCTAAACATGTATGTCAAAATTATCACATCTTCTGGTTTTAAATCAACAATTCTGACGGATTTTGTGCAAGGACAGCTTCGGGTTCCGTTTCGCTTTGGCCGATGCTTGCCGGAAGTACACTTATTTACCGGAAGTTGTCGTCTCCTCCGCAGGCCCTTCGATCTTCGACTACGCGCGCGGCTCGACACAAATGAAAAACAATAAAAAAAAAATAGGAGCCGAATTTAAGACCTCGGTGTCGTACCGACCCGAGGTAATAACAATAGATTACTTCAATATTTTGCGCGTAGGCGGAGGTATGCAGTCTCTGAGTGCCCTCTAGTTATAATTGTCTTCATTCAATTTTGCAGTTTCCGTCAGCACTACATTGACAGAGGATATTACGAGGTAAGCTGACTGATCCTGAGAGAACTTGTGTACGCGTTACTTTTCTGAAGTCAGAGATGGATTTATTGCATGGGAGTTGCCTCTGCAAGAGTGTGTAAGATTTCTTTATCGAGCCCAAATGATTTTCAAATTGTATACGTACAATTGTTTTGTAGATGGAATTTATTTTACACATTTATCAGACGTCGCTTCCCATGTATACACTCTCGAAGTCGTCAAATCCATTTTCTATTTGTATTTTTTGTCAGGTCACTCCACCCACTTTAGTTCAGACGATCAAAGAAAGTGGATCAACGCTCATTAAGCTTCGTTATTTTGGAGAAGATGTAAGTATACAACATGCACAAACGGCCTCTACAATTGACAAATCCTATCCCCAATTTTGAGTACAACTATTAAAACAATTGCACTGCTCACCAAAGCAAAACTCAGTAATTTTGTCTGGCAAATATAAACATAAATATATATATACACAATTGTGATCCTAAGTTGCTAGCGGAACTGTTACTCAGCACATTTTAGTACCCAAGGCCTGACAACGTATAAGACGGATGCACATGCTGTCAAGTTCACCAAATTTTAAAAGTAAAACACCTCATTTATTTTTTATTTCTAGGCGTACTTGACTCAATCATCTCAACTGTATTTGGAAACTGCTTTACCAGCATTAGGTGATGTTTTCTGTCTGGCGCAGTCCTACGGAGATGAACAGTCCAAAACTAGAGGACATTTATCTGAGTAAGTGCATGGACATATCTAGCATGCCAATTTTTGAACGAGAGCACTTCTGATAGAAAAAATTGAAATTAGTTTACAACTGAAGATGATTTATCCTTTATATCTGGTACTACATAGTATAGTATATACATTCATTTATTTAGGTATACTCACGTTGAAGCTGAATGTGCATTTATTACGTTCGATGAACTCCTGGATCGAATTGAAGATCTTGTAAGTAAACGTGTTTTAAATTAATATAGTAAATGGCTTTTTGTGCATGGAATTTTCGAATGTACAAGTTTCCATACACTTCACACCTAACCAGGAGTAGTTGCGGGAACTATGGGAGCTTTGAGAGAAATCGAACCGACTGACGAAGCCCACGCGTAATACACGCGTGTTTTATGCCTACAAGAGATCACTCTATTAGCCGCCATCTTGTCTTCGCCCAATCATAGGGCAGTTTACCAGGAGTTATCGTTCCAGTACTTATATAGAGTTCACTGGATTGAACTGGGGGTTGGGATTGTAATGATTAACTACAGCATAATGGTAACAAATTGCTGTTTTTCAGTTGTGTTTGTTAACATGGAAGTTGATCCGAACAAATCTGTTTTCGTTCTACGCAGGCTTGTGATGTTGTTGACCGAGTTCTGAAGTCGCCTTATAAAGATCTGTTTTATGAACTCAACCCGGTATGTAATCATCGATGGAGAATTTCTTCAATTTATTGAGGAATTCGAAACCTTTAGGAATATGAAATATATGTAGAAGCACGCTAACCTTGTAGTTATTCTTTTTCTTAGGAATTCAAGCCACCAAAGAAACCTTTCAAGTAAGTAGAGAAATATACGTAATATAAAAGGTTCGACTGTTAGGCTTGATAAACCCTATTTCACCTTCAGGCGAATGGACTACGTTGATGCTATTGTTTATTTGAAAGAACATGATATTCGTAAAGACGATGGAACATTCTATGAATTTGGTGAAGTAAGTGCAATGTAGATAATATTAGGATTGGGCAACTATATTTATTATCATATCACGATTTTCGTCTAGGAAGTTATCACGATATTCGATATACATGCATTAAAATCAATGACCACAGTTTCAATAAATTAAAATAACTGTTTTTGGATTTTGTTCAATCGATGTTAAGACCCATTTCCACTCAGGAAGATTTTCCGCACAAAGAATGGCCGACACAAATTTTCCGTCGAAAAAATTTTGAAGTTGAAAATTTTCAACTTTTAACAATGATATTTTTCGGAAAATTTTCTATCCGTGGAGAATTTTCTGAGTGGAAATGGGGCCTTCACGCATACATGCCAAACAATATATCACGAACTTTACGGTCAATATCACGGACTTCGTACAACCTCACAATGTGATTGGTTAATATGGTTTATTTCAGGATATCCCAGAAGCACCTGAAAGAAAGATGATTGATCAAATCAACGAGGTATGGCAGTACTAACTGCTTCTCAACAGCACCATGAAATTGATTGGTTTTACACCTTAACCTAAAATTCACCATATTTCATTTGCTACGACTGGCTTTAAGAAGAATGGAAGATTTACGCAATTCATGCATGCCTGCAGAAGACAGAAGTTAGGGAGCCGTGCATAGAGCGACGCCATCTCCATTGTATACGTATAAAGGCAAGCAGGAAGCTGCAAATTCAAAACTTGAAAACTTAGTACTACAAAAATCATTTGAAGGCAGTGCAGTTTCCTTCCAAAATGGATTTTTGGTCATCTCAGTTCTCACTCAATTGCATGCACGAATGTTGAAAGGATTTGTAGACGGAAATTTCGAGTGTAAATTTTATACTTTTATTTAGGCCTAAACCAGGAGCAGCTGCTGCCTGGACCGGCCGGTGCAGCGCTCTAACCAACCATTCCGGTGCAGCGCTCTAACCAACCATTCCGGTGCAGCGCTCTAACCAACTGAGTTATACAGATGCCAGTTGTAGAGCTCTAACCACAAGTTCATGTATATATAAGTGATGACATCATGTAAGAACTCGAAATATCATGTGGAGCTATAGTTATCCAAGGCGCATCAGATTTGCCTATCACAATTTCAAAATTTCCCCAATAACTAGTAAAAAAATTCCCATGGTAAACCCGCAGTTTCAAGAACGGATTCATAATTCATTAAACCAATACAAGATAACCATGGGGTTCGTGAAAATCCTTAAAAGTCCTTGAATTTGGAAACAAAAATTGAAGTCCTTGAAGTCCTTGAGTTTATAAAGAACTGCTTGAAAGACCTTAAATTGTCTTGCTTCAGTGGATATTTTCTGAAGTTTTTTTCAAGTTTGTGAACGCAATGCGCATGCGCGAGTTTGGGTGCACTTTTGCCTTTAAGAATTGGACATTTTGTAAATTGATTTTGTTCATGTCTTACAAAGGCCAAAGCTGTTTGAACTTCATTAAAGTTATACCGTTTGAACAGTTTAACGTCACTTTTTACTAATTTCTAACGCCTTCTTTTCAGCCTTTTAGTCGTTGAATTTCCTGATATATATGGCCTTGAATTTAACTCTTCCTGATCTGTACGAACCCTGGACTAATAACGCATTTGATTCTCATCACTCGAAATTCAACATAAGTTTATTTAACTTTGAATTTAATTTTTAGCCGATATTCCTGTGCCGTTTCCCAGCGGGAATAAAGTCATTTTATATGTCGCGTTGCCCTGAAGAGACAAGGCTCACTGAGTCGGTAAGTAAACTATTATCTACATAAGTAATTTCCTCACGTTATTGAAAACCTGAAAATTTCCATCAAATTCTACCAATTCAAGAACACAGTGCTGGTGTTCTGTTATAACCAATAAATAAACTTTGGCATTATTTCAGGTTGAATTGTTAATGCCGAATGTTGGTGAAATTGCCGGTGGATCAATGAGAATTTGGCAATATGTAAGTAGACCATTTGTGCTGCTTTCTCGCCAATTCTGGTCCGCACCAAATATTGCATGGAGAGGTACAGATTTGCATGACCAGGCATGAGAGTTGAGGAATTACGGTGTGCATAGATTGGCATGTATATCAAAAATTGTTGAACAATATATAGCATCGTTCAAACGAAGATGATAGTTCACAAGAGTTGATCGATTTCATCCACTCTCACCAATTCTCGTCGACTTTGAGGTGGTTCAAATTTTTATGAGAGTAGATGAGCTAGAGTTTTTGATCGTTTGAGTCTTATAGTCTCGTCAAGTCTCATCCAAGTCTTTTTCTCGTGTGACACTTCGCTTCTCAACTTCATCAAGTCTCATCATCGCTTGACCGGGGCTTTTGTGTAAGGTAGCTTTAAAAGCGCTCGATGCATGACATATAGGTTGAGCGATATATGTATGTATGTTCACGCCCACATCCAGATCGGATAGTGCATGTTCTCAATGGTTGATATACGGTGGTACTATTATTTTCAGGATGAATTGTTAGAAGGTTTCAAACGAGAAGAGATTGATCCAGCACCTTATTACTGGTATACTGATCAGGTATTCCTCGGGGTTTTTTTCTGAACTTGTTTTTCATTCGTCTAATAAATTGTTTCTAAAATTTGCTTATTCTGAAAGACCACTTGCTCTATAGTTTCTTTAGGCCACGGTAAAGCCGGACTTAAAAAATAGTCGGCTGAACTTTGAAATGAAATGTCTACATGAAATGATGTCGATTTTTCGTATTGAATTCACAAAAATTCAGTGAATTTCCGCGCAGGCGCCCATGCATAGAATTTAAATAATAGATATCTATTATTTCTATGGGCCCAGGGCCTATACTTACAAGATGGCCTTCAATTTCCGCCATCTTTGGCTTCAAAAACACAGTCGGGTTAGCATGTCAGTTTTTACAGAGTTTAATTAATATAATGTATTTAATTTGTATTTCCAGCGTAAATTCGGAACATGTCCCCATGGTGGTTATGGCTTGGGTTTAGAGAGATATCTGTGTTGGTTATTGAACAGAATGCATATCAGAGATGTGTGTATGTACCCAAGGTTCACTGGCCGATGCCGACCTTGAACAGCAGAGAGACATTCACGTCAGAAATATTCAACACAAGTTTTATTGATTTAGCATTTTAGGAATACTTTGACTAAAATGATGTCAAATCAAATTTGATTTCAAAATTTGGGAATTTTGAGACTACAAATGCTGCTCAATGTGAGAAATTATTTTTCTGGTTAAATTAAACAATTGTTTTGTCAACACAAAGTGAATTTGACAAAGCCATTGACCATGTTTGTTTTGTTTTGGAGCAATGTCTTTGGCAATATCTGTGACCGTTACTTATTTAAACTACTGCACTGCTTTAAACTGATTGATTGATTTTATCATCACATGTAATGTTTTCCCACCAATCAGATCAGCTTGTTACAGATTTTTGCACTGCTGTTTGTGATTAACTGCACTGAAATCAACCAATCACAGTCGAGTAATATTTTTATGTATATATATTATTAACTTAAAAAACCCCAGTGCTATTACCATTTCTCGCTGAACGTCGAAACTCCTAGCCTTTAAATATAATTTGTAGAGCTATTTGAAACTTGTGAAACAGTTTAAATTTATATTATAGCGAGTGCGCATGTTTGGTTTAGAAGAGACATGTTTTGTTGGATATCGATTTACCTATATCGATTTACCGTTTCGTCCCCTTGCCGTTTCGTCCCCTTGCCGTTTCGTCCCCTTGCCGTTTCGTCCCATTCATGTTTCGTCCCCAGACTATAGATACTGTTTTATCTGTATAACCTACTTCCTTAATACAATATATCTTACTTTTTGAGATTGTATCTCAGTGGATTGTATGCCTGGATAATACACATTTTTGGATTTAAATTCCGAAACTTTGAAATGTAACTTAAATATTTGGCTTTTATTTCACAATACTAATATTGCTGTTGTCAGTGACTATTATAGTGACACTCGACTTTATTTTAATTGGGACTGAGTCTGAGGAAAACTAGACCAATGACTGCCATTAGTGATCTTAAGATCGCAATGTTTTTGTCAACACGGACGTCAGTTCGTCGAGTGGGACTGGATTAAAAACTGTGTTCTTGTCAGTTTGTGGTAATCTTCAACACATGACAAAACCTATATAAGATTTTTAAAGTTTTTTGCTTCCTTAGGCGAGCGCTATGATGCAAAATGCCGTCAAAATTAGTCCTACCAATTTTTGGGTGACGTCCGTGTTGGCGACGAAACGTGAAGGGGACGAAGCAGCAAGGGGACGAAACGGCAAGGGGACGAAACGACCATAAAGCGTATTTATACAGCCGAAATAGCACACCTCTTCAATGGAACTACACGCCAAGCTCGTGTAACAATATTGCGTGTAGTTGTGAGTGCACGAGCTGTCTGTAACAGTGCGTATAATATAAGCTTCGTGTACAGGCGCGAATTAGAAACCTCCATTGCAAAGGCCGGTTTTCATGTGCCCACGCGGGCGGAGCGGGCTTTGAAATCTGCTCACGCGGGCGAGACGGGCGTCAAAAACAATGAACACTTCGCCCGCGCGGGCAAAGCGAACGTTAATGGAAAACGGCTTTAACACGACTACAAGCAGGCGTTCTGCATGGTTTCACATTCCTGAGGATAATGGATACTGCAAGAGGCGGAAGCAAATACATACAAACACGCCATTCCCATTCCTGATTCATCGATTTTTTTCGAGTATGTTGTCATTGAATGTGTACCTGTCGACCGCATGCACGAATCCCGGCGCATCAAAAACTACGAAACTACTTCTACGGTTCTAGTTCTACTCATCTGAATAGAAGATTAGACTGTGGTATACTACAAACGCTCAGTGGGCTTTATCGTAATCGTAGGCGACTAAGATGCGTCGTTCAGTGGTTCTGATTTGACATTTATCTCAATAATTTCAAAGAAATGTTTAACGCAAAAACATCGCAGCAGGTCATATAAAGCGAGAGCGAAACGTAAATTTAACTACGTCTTAAATCAGTTTAAATACTCGAGCCTTGATTTATTAAATTCCGGGAAAACTAACACTATTAGCATTACATAACTCATAAGGCCAGTAGTGTCAAGTAACGAAGTAAGTTTGGGAGCATGTATTTTTAATAATCATCATAATAATAATCTCCAAGAAAGGTAAAATTTCACATCTTGGCACAGTTGGTGTGTTGCACAATATCACACAATACATTAATTTGCATAGCTTTTACTTTCGAGCTGAATCCGCGTTTCCCAGAACGAGCTTTCCAAAAAGGTCACAGTAAGTCCCAGGCTCATTTAGCGTTGATATCCCGCTGAACCTCGATCTGGGGCTAATTGTAAAGATGAGATCAGGAGAACGGTCATCGTTACAACAGACTCCATGAAGTGGATCAACAAAAACTTAAGGAGACAAATCAGAATATTCGAGTTTTAAAAATTCAGAATAAGAATATTATGGGATTATGGCTGAAAGGGACATTCAAGGAACTTTAGATCGTTTGCGATGTTGTGAGACTTGCAGTCAAAACAACCATCTGTTTTATTCACGACAGTACAACTTATCTTTATCCTAATGGTAGAAACCACTTTCTTTAGGGCTGTTTTTAGACCGAGCTAACTCGCTTTCCCGAGACGAACTTCAGTTGTTCTTACATGAGACTATTCAGACGGGCCAAAACAAAGCAGCTGAGCTAGCTCGCCACATATAAACAGCCCTTTAATGGATATTAACAACTATTAGACATGCATAATACAGTGCCATTTGTCCCAATGTTCTGCTTATCATATTAACATTTACAACGAATTTTAACTCTAGAACGAGATATACAAATAAATAAGTTTAAATCAGTAGCCATTTAAGATAGGAAACTACTGTTTCATGTTCTAGTCTCACTTCATTCCTGAGTGTAATGAGCCAGGGTACGTGCAGACGGATCTTGGCTTTCAGACCACTTGGGCAACCACATATAGGGAATTAAATGACTCTGCCCAGGATATTTATTCTCGAAGATTTTGCGGTAGTAATACGCTTCCTTGGTCTTGGGAGTGCAGAATGGATACCGCTCTGCTGCCGTCTCCAACTTAATATCACTCACGATCTTCGTACAATGCTTCTGGATAATCTCGTACCAAGACTCGCCAGCTTTGGTGGATGATACGCCATCACTGAAAGCTTCTTTAGGCCGCCAAAGGATTTCGTTTGGAAGTAAACCTTCCTCGTCAAATGCAGAACGCAGAAGATACTTTTCAACTTTTTCATGAGGTTGACGTATAGAGGGTGTTAAGGAGAGAAAATAGGATGTGAAAGCAACATCGAGGAATGGAACACGGATTTCCAAGCCATGGGCAGCAGTAGAACGATCACCGCGAAGGACATCGTAGAGGTAAAGGTCTTCTAGGAGACGTTTCGATTCAACATCAGCTTCTTCAGCAGAGGGGGCTTTATGAAAATAGATATAACCCTGTGCTAGTTCATCAGAACCTTCACCAGAGAATATTACCACAGTATCTGTCTCCTCACGAATGTATTTACTGATTAAATACATTCCAACTGAAGCCCTTACTGTAGTGATATCATAACTTTCTAAATACTCTATGACGTCAGGGATAGCAGCCAGACCTTCTTCTGGAGTGAAAACCAACTCGTGATGTTCTGTATCCAGAAAGTCAGCAACCTTTCTGGCGGCGGCAAGATCAGTGCTTCCAGTCATTCCGACAGAGAACGTCTGGATGGGATAAGATATACCAGATTCACGTGCAAGTTTCACTAACACAGCAGCAACAAGACTGGAATCTAGACCTCCAGATAAAAGACAACCTATGCGTCGATCAGACATGAGACGTTTACGAACGGCTTCAGTAAACAGTGCTCGAATGTTCTCTTTAATGTCACTTTTCACTTTCACCGAGAAATCAAATTCTGGTATCTTGGTCAAGCTTGTGTAAGGCGCCATCTTCTTTATCGTTGCCACTCCATCATCGTTGAAAGATAAGCCTGCATGATGGCCGGGACGAAAGGGCTCGATAACAGATTTTATACCATCCAAATCTTTCTGCAACTTCAACAAACCCTTGACTTCAGAGCAGATTGCTAAACATTGATCTCCCGTCTTTAGCATAAACATCGGTCGAACGCCAAAAGTATCGCGGCCAAGATGGATTTCCTTCTTTGTTGTATCTACAATAACAAACGCAAAAACACCGTCCAACATTTGCGCCGTTTTCTCACCTCCAAATTGGTTATACAAATGCAAAATTACTTCTCCATCGCACTTGGTGTGGTAGTTAAAGCCATACTGCTTTCCCAATGCTTTGTGGTTATAAATCTCACCATTGTAGATAACATAGAGGTGGGGAAGGGAAAACACTCGCATCGGTTGCATTCCGTAGACGCTGTCGACAACTGCAAGGCGATGAAAGGCCAGACATGAGTTACCAAAACTTGGTATGCTCTCTAGACGAAAACAATCAGGACCACGATGAGCAATTTTTAAGGCGCAGTTAAAATAATCCGAGATATCTTCGGAGGTTCCAAATATTGCCCAAATGCCACACATGTTGCTTCACTTTGGAAAAAAAATTAGAAATCTAAATTAAATGGTTTATTTAGTCAGGTTAGTAATTTAACATTATTAGAGGCAAACATTTTTGCATGCTTGGTGGCCCTGGGACAAGGTAGCACTAATTCAATCCCCACTCCACAATAAACAATTTTCCATTATATCAATTATTAGTTACTCTCGACTTTACATTGAAAAAATTCGTCCAGTCGTAGCTTCGCCCCGCCCCAACCAAACTGGCAAATTCCTAGGATACACCTAGTTTTCTTGAATATCGCACGCTCTGGACTTTTGCCATGCCATATTACCCTTATACTCATAACAGTTTGCTGGCGAAATTAAATTAGAGTGCAGTAAAATATTTGTTTTAAAATATGATGAATATAAGGAGTACAACTAGCGCTGCAGCGCGGATATTTAAAACAACATTACAGGGATGAAAAATAAGATTTCTGCTGCGCAAATTCTATATGATATCAAGTATTACGCGCTAATCTAATTATATACTTAACCTAGACTATTTTATCTTTACAACAATTGTGATCTTACTTTCTTGACTATACCTACTAAGCTTATCATAACCCGGGCCCTGTCAACTTTCCCTGTGGGAAGACATAAGAGTACACGGAGAAAGCCCACGTGCACTACTTTCGGCAAAGCGTTAATGACTGACTCTTTTCACATGAGTGGGCAACGAGAGAATTAACGAACCAACGATCTCTTATTAAAGTCTGGTACCAAATATCACAATTCACAAGCATTGTTTAGGAGCAAGTGGCAAGCATACAATTTATACCCATATAACGTAATTGTCATATTATAAATAACGACTATTAAATAAAACTTAAGCTAATTAAGTTAGCCATATAGCAAGCATATGATACTGTGCAATGATTGCCAATGATGCCGCAACATACGCATTTTATACAATCTGTTTTGTTCTGTGCAGGATTCCTTGCAGCTCTACTGATAAAAATATTTAAACCATTTATAGAATTGATAGTTATGACTGTACATTAAACAACACTAATGGACATAATTAATTATCTTAGAAAAAGTATCTAATGTCAGTCAAATGGCATAACTCGGTACTCTTTATTCATTTCATCAAGTGATCTATGTTCTGAACGATTCGCATAATTTAGAGCCTTAAACGGACACCGAAACCCCATTTGACATGCATGTTGACCCCCCCCCCCCAATATTTCGTGAAGTGTCCGCCACAGGTGAAAGGCACTTGCTCTGAACCCTCACTATATGCACACGTTCACATGGAGTAACTGTAATATTGTATGAAGGTTGTTTGATCGTAATATCAAAATTGTAATGGAAAGGGGCAACATGGCCATTATACAATAGGTGGTGGGATGTTTTAGTTGGCATGTGCTTCCCTGAAAAATTTCAATATCTATAGTTTCTGAAATAATAACATCATGTTCCTGCGTTCTGGAGAAGATTCGACATGCAGAAATTTAGCCATCTTGTTCATTTTCAATTCCATACGACGAAAAATGGATACCTTCAAGACAGAGTATGTAATTGGGAAACAACATGGGCAACCATGAAAGTCCAACACATTTCTGCTTCAGCTTCAGAAATGTTTGTATTTTGAAGTTGAGAGGGGTGACATTTAGCAACCAAGCTTTTCTCCCGATGCATTTCACGTAAATTCTGCAATTTTCACATATTGTTCTACACTGGATTCTGTACTAAAACCACTAATTCTGTTTTGTGTTTGGCGCGGTTTAATCAAAGAATCGCCCCGTTGAACCAGAGCCTTCGCGACATTTCAATTTATTATTTACTGTCGAAGGCTCTGGAATCCAGGGTAATATTGTTCAGAACATTAAATGAAATATGAAAAGTGATTTACAGGCCGACAGCCAATTAATTCAATGTTGCGTTTTGACAGACTTTCGTGCCCCAAAATCACCTACTATGCGAGGATTACAATGGCCACATGCCCACACTGTCGTAAAATATTTTTCAAAGTACAGAAACGTCTTGCTGTGAATTGCAATGCACACCAACACCTAATCAGGGTTCTGCCCAGGACCGTGCATGTGAATGTTGGTTAAGTGCAAGCCTTGGGGCATGCCCCTCCTCCACACCCCACTGACAGCTTTTGAAATTTTGGTGGCAGTCTGGTTTCAAAATGCTTATTGCCATTTTTCAAATTGTGTAATCTGTGCAAGTGAATTGCATGGTACTATTATAAAGTAACTTGCAGCACAACATCAATAAACAAAATATGTGGGAATAATGTAATTCTCAAAAATCACCTTTATATTGTAGGCATTATAGTGCTGAATTTCATCTAGTACTATTGTTCAAATAATAAAATTCACAAAAGTTAAAAAGTATAACTAATAATAAATAATAGAATTTGTATAAAATAGAACAATTAAAATAGAATGTTTTGGTTTTGGTATTACATATTTGAAATATTTTAAGTGAAGAAAGGCATTAATAATGACTGCTCCCTAACATAAATGTTTTTGTTTAGAGACTGATACAAGAATGAATAAATGGACTGGATATTAATGTCTGGATAATTTTGTCAGAACAATGGCCACTTGCAGTTGCAAGACAATCTTACCTAAATTCATTAGTATGGAAAATAACTTAACAGCTACAATAATACATTTAATAATTATATGGATGGATCAGATCAATGGCACACAATATATTTACAAAACTAAACTTGTGATACCTTCTACTCAAACAGATATTCTCCCACAACACAAATTGTTTTTGTGTGGATATGCTGTGGTTAAACCGAACAGTGTGGTATATCATTAACTGTGCACAGGATTGGAATTGAATTATATACTTCAATCATGACCTTTAAAACATTCTCTACTATTCAGTGGTCTAGTCGATATATGATTGACTCATTTCTACAGTAATGCATGTTCCTCGAATACTTTACAAGTGTATGTTACTCAATAGTTAGCATTGCCAAGTGTAAACAACAAGTGACAGAACGTTTGCTTCATATGATTACAATAAAGTTTTGAAAATTTAACGAGTATGGGGATTGACAAGTGACAGATTACTAAATAACCAGCTGCATGCCGACTTGTATAGGCACTTCGAATATTGTTTGCATGAAATTTTTATTTCCTGACTGCATAATCTGTTACAATCATTATAATCACATAAAATTATAATAGTTTTGTTTGTGGAAACACCACATAAATTCACATAAAATTAGTTAAATTTTCTCGGCAGCAGTTGCCCCTGTCGCCCTCCGCACTGTGACAGCCCTATTAGACACATCTAATATTAGACATGTCTATTATGTTCGACTTTAAAATCTTATTCGCTATTATATAATAAGTGATGAAATATTTCAATTGCCCCATGTCATCTTCATTATTCAGTTCCTTTTCAAGAAAATACAAAATGTGAATCAAGTTTTTTCGTAGATACATGTACGCGTCGCGTACCTACTTTTGAATGTGTTTGTAGAAGCATTAGGGAGTTTAAGCTTCACATTTCCGGGAACGGCAAAAGGCAGGTTCGAATTTTCTTGGCAAAATTTTTGTTGAACGTTTTCGTTGAACGTTTCTTGTGTCGAAAGAATAATTATGTATTTCGTGTTTTAAAACAGCAAGTTCATTTACACTTTATTGCCTGATACCGTAAAATTTTTATTTGCCTGCCGTTTGTCGTATAAAGCGAAGCTTAAACTTTCTACTGCCCTTCACTTTCCCGGAAGAAATCAGGCTTTGCTTGCAGGGTAAAACCCTTGCTTAATATTTACATTTAATCATTATACTTTTTTATAGGCTAGCCTTGATAGCATGCAATACTTCCAACTTAGAAATGAGTCCGAGAAACAACATAAATCAGCAACATACACAACAGCCTGGCAACGAAGCAAGACATTGTACACGTGTCTTACACAGTACACACGATGGGATTGGCGTATCAGTTTACCGTGTGTTATTGGCAGCCCGCGTGAAATTTTCATTATTTCAATATTTTTCATTATTTGTAAAACTTGTATAGCAAGTGTTTCAAAAATGGCTTTCTGTTGAAATTATTGGAACACTGTCATTGACTTTGTTTATACAGTTTATAGTCAGCCAAGCGAAACGTAGAGTCAAAGACAGCTGATAGCTCGGAAGCTAGCAAAAAGCTCAAGAATCGTCAAAATTTTCTTGGAACTTTTTCGGTCGAAATTCGGATTTTTAGCTCAAAATTTGACAAATTCAAATCGTGAAAAATAATGAATAATGAAAAAAATCCGCATCAACTTTTGAAATTTTAGGCGACGGTAAACTGATACCTTAATTCCATCGGACTAACGGAGTTTCATATCACATATAAAGAAAGGCTAAGATGCCACTACTACACTATAAACAGTAGGATAGGAGTGAAATAACGTTTTACCTGATTTCAATGTACTTCTTTTAAATTAACCTGATATTAAAATAGTATAAAGCAGTTCAACACTTCCAACTTCCGTCGTGCACGCAATGGCTTGTGCAATTGCTATCAGGGCTGATGCAATACAGCAATCAGTGCTCTCACAGTCAAATTTTCGAATTCCTTAGAAAAAACTCGAAAATTCCTCAGATTTCCTTAAAATGGTAAAATTACTACAAGGCCTGATCACATAGTTGCAAAAAGTGTTTTTTTTCAGAATTTTTCAGATTGAACGTTTTTTAAAACCGTATTTTTGAAAATTTGAAGTCTCTAGACCGTCGGAAATGGCATTTTTAGAGTCTTTCCTACCCAATATTTTACTAGTATTGCCTAACAATGAAGATAAGTATTGCTACTTTCAGTTTAATAGGAAATTGAGAAAATTTTGGAAATTTGGAGTCTCCAGATCGTCAGAAAGGGTATTTCGCAATTGCCCCCTACCACAACAAGTCTCAACGTATTTAGTACGTTTGATTGTTAACTCTAATTCAGATTATAGAGTTCACTTTTTTATGCCCTGAGAATTACCTGAATTTACCTGAAAATCTACAGGAAATCTACCTGAAATTGTTCATGAGCAATATTAGGGGTGTTGCACCCTCCCTCCCCCGGTCGCTACGGCCCTGAGAACTTAGAAAATCTGTAGATTTCAGAAGAAACAGCATACACTGACATTTAACTTTTGAGAATTTTAATGGAAAGACAGCCATATGTAGATTTTATACGACATAGAGAACATACGAATATATGTAATTATGTGCATATAGTGTGTTTCAAGTTTAAATCTCATTTGCGTGGCGTGGTTATTCTCCGTCCAGGATAAAATGTTTCGGAAATTCCTTAAAAAAATCCTCAAAAACCTAAATTCCTTAAAAAAATCCTTAAAACTCTTCAAAATTCCTATTTTTAAGGATAATTCCTTAAAAGTGAGAGCACTGACAGCAATAGCAAATACCATGTGCACCGCGCAACAAACCGTGTCGACCTATAATTGGTCTATATATTTTGAATATTTTATACGAAATATTTACTGTAACCGTTATAATATTTAATAACGAAATAATTCAAAAAATATTACATGTAAGAATATATATATGTAAAAATATATAATTATTTATGACCGGAGGTGGGCTGGCAAAATTCAATTAACAACTAAACAAAATGTCAGTATTCGCTTCACAGTCGGGCAATATTTGGTTATTATAAAAATAAATGGGACAAATTTGTGGGAAATTATGCCAATTTTTCGATTTTGGGGAAAATTTGTTGAATGTTCCGGAAAATTTAGGTATGTCCGAAAAATTTTTGGACCCCTAAAATGGTACACTGAAATTGTTTTGGCGACGGGGGGGATTGAGGAGGATGATTAGTACCGCAACTAATTATAAAACCCTAAATTAAAGTATACCAGCCTTAGATCTGTGAAATGAATATGTTTTCACCAATTTTTTAATCAATATTCAACACGTATGGCCGTCTTTCGCGTGAAACTTTAATTTAATTTTAATTTAATTTATTAACTTTGCCAGATTCAAACAATTAACGTTAACACAAAAACTGGCAGGGCAATCGCAACAGCTTGCGCCAATTACTGCGATCCCTAAATGTTAGACAAATACACTATATACGTACATAGAAAAATCAATTATTAACGAACTATATCAGATTCAACTTTACACATTGCGACCCGCATGACCACTTCTAGTTTCGGAAGCTGACTGAATCGGAAGACGTTTAACCCTCACAATCCTAAACCTTCAGCAAAACCCTGGATAGGCCCATAGATACCAATGCGAAAAGCTACTTCTGAAAACTACTAAAATATAAAAACAACACGTTATCGGCCTTGTAAGGTCGCGAGCTTGATTGCATTTTAAGCAAACCGTTTTCCATGTTCGTGGATCGTCAACGTCATAACATTTATCTAATGCTGTTTTATAATAGATATACAACTTACTTTTAAACTCCTTTAAGGTTGCCATGCCATTAATAGTAACTAAATCCCTTGGCAGTGTGTTCCAGACTCTAGTAGTCCTTATTAGATAGGATTTTTGATAGGTAGATGTTTTACATGCTGAAGTCTGAAATTGTAGGCAGTCAGGATTTGTAGAACGGGTACGTTGACTTGAATTTTGAGGGTATGGTAGTATGTCGCTGCTTAGGTTAATAATGTCATGATGTGATTTGAAAAGGAACAATATGTCTAGGTACTCATGCCAGTAACACAAAGGTAGTAGATTCAATGTTGCGAGACGGTGGTTATAGCTGATGTCACAGAAGAAGGGTAGGTTCAATATGTATTTTGACGCACGTCTTTGAACGCGTTCTGTACGCTTAATGAGATCAACAGTTTGTGGAGCCCAGACTTGGGACGCGTATGCGAGGTGGGAACGAACGAGGGTAAGATATAGAGTCCGACGAACAGAGATGGTCTTGAATTTGATCGTGGACCGTCGAATATACCCGAGGGATTTGTTGGCTTGGGTGCACTGGTGGAGGACTTGTTTGGACCATGTGAGGGTGGAGGAGCTCCAGACGCCAAGGTCACGTTCGCAATCTGTGGTTTTCAGAGCGGAATCGTGCAATTTGTATGTATGGTCGATTTTGTTGCGTTTTCTAGTAATTCGAAGTGTCTTACATTTATCTGTGTTGAGGAGAAGATTAGCATTGGCACAGGAAGTTTGGAAGTTCGCAAGATCATTCTCCATAGCGGATGCATCAGCCTTCGCGTTTATCACCTTGTAAATCTTTGTGTCGTCAGCAAACGTCGCGATCTTCGAGTGGTTGATGGAGTTGGGGAGATTATTCTGATATAATAGGAACAGTAGCGGTCCAAGGATTGAGCCTTGTGGAACTCCGGAGGTTACTGGTAGTGCTGATGATGTTGCACCAAGTACTGTAGTCTGCTGCCGACGGTCCTTGAGGTAAGATCTAAACCACTTTAAAATATTTCCACCGAATCCAAAATCACGAAGTCGTTTCAACAGTTGCATGTGGCTTACTCGATCAAACGCCTTGGACATATCCAAGTAGATCACATCAACTTGTTTCCCAAGATCCAGCTCACGACCAATATACTCAAAGACTTCAATGAGCTGTGTAACACAGGACTTCCGAGGAACAAAGCCATGTTGACCGTTGTTAATCTGTTCGAAAACGTGGTCTTTGATCTTATTGAACACGCATCTTTCCAATGCTTTCGAGATAAGCGAAAGAAGCGAAATCGGTCGATAGTTTTCTACGTGCTCTTTGTTGTCTTTTTTGTGGACGGGAACAACGTTTGCTAGTTTCCAGTCGTGTGGTAACACGCCAGTGCTCAGAGATTTATTAAACAAGACAGTTAGTGACGGAGAAATTTGGCGAGCTGTTTCTTTTAACAAACGTGCAGGAATCCCATCTGGACCTTGAGCTTTATTAATGTCGAGATTATGCAATACGGAGAAAACGTCGGCTTCCGAAAGGGTAATGTCCTCGATGATAGTATTGTTAAACTGATATGGAAGAGCTTCAGGGCTGCAGTTTTCGATAGTTGGATCAGTGGTAAATATAGATGTGAAGTAGTTGTTGAAGAGGGTGGCAATATCTGCTGGATTTCCCGCGAATGCTCTTTTGGTTTCAGTTACTTTCACCGAGAGCTTTTGAGGAATGTTCCGGGTCTTATTATTGAGCTTGAACAGGGACCAGAAGCGTTTGGGATTAAGCCCACGGCTGGAACAAATAGAGTCGAAATATTTGGAGCGACTGTTACGTAACATGCGCTTGATGGAACTACGAAGGGTTTTGAGCTTTTCAACGAGATATTCAGTTGGTGTATGGGATTTCTTAATTCTGAGGCGGAGAGAGTTTTTCTTCTTGATGTTGTGTAGAATTGTAGAATTCATCCACGGAACATAGTTTCGACCCTCTACTCTCGTAAATGGTATATGTTGGGATACTGCTTCTAGGAACGCGTTCTTCCATTGTTGCCAGTCGTGGTTGATATTGTCGTCAGTTGTAATCAGGGAATCCAGATTTAGACATTCAAGGGAAGTTCGTAAGCCAGCAAAATCACCTTGACGGTAATTATAGACAGTTCTGCGTATCTTTGGCAGTTGATTATGACACAATGAAAGTTCAAACACAATAATGTTGTGATCAGTGAAAAGTTCTGCTTGAGTTGGAGACAAAATTTCACATATTTTGACTTTGTTGGGAATATTGGTAAGAACGAGATCTAACGTGTTGTTACCTCTAGTAGGCGCGGTGTTTAGTTGTTCCAAGAAATGGTCATGGAGCAGTTCTACGAAGGTATTTTCGTTACCACCTGATGTTTTCTCTGGCGAATCCCATGATACATGTGGCATATTGAAATCTCCTGCAAGCACAATGTTTGAGTGTCCCAAACAAACATCACCCATAAAGTTATTGAACTTGTCCAACCAACTATGATCTGAGTTTGATGGACGATAACAAGAACAAATTAATAAACTTGCGTTTGAAGTGGTTGTTATTTCAGCCACGGCGATCTCCAAATCATGACCATGTTGAATTTCCCGCACTGATTTGAATGACGAAATCTTTATCGCTAACAGTACTCCACCACCACGAGATTCGCGATCCTTTCTGAATATGTCGTATCCCGAATGCAGAATTTCCGAGTTTTTAATATCCTCGTTAAGCGACGTTTCGTTGACACAAACAATGTCGGGGTTTTCGGAATAGACCAAGTTCTGGAAGCGTTCAATGTTGGTATCTGTTAAGCTGTTTCCGATGTTGGTTTTATGTAAACTCATCAGACTTCGAGCATTGAGTGCAAGACATTTTATGAACCGATTTACACGATCCGTGTGTTTGTAAGGTCCAGGATTCGTTGCGATATCTCCGGCAAGCAAGAGCAATATAGACGCATGTGAGATCTTACGGTTAATTTGTAAGTTTAAGCCGTAGCGATGCTGGTTATTGCATGGTAAGTTATATTTTCTGAAAACAACGTCACGGGTGGATACACAAACATAGTATAGTTTTTCAGGCAGAGAAACAAGTTCGGAGCAGATTAAAATGTTTTCTGGTGTAATTTGGGTGTTATTAGCATTTCGATTAACTTTCACACACAGTTTCAAAATTGAAAAAAGAAGTAATATATTAGTTATGAAGCGTCCAATCTTTGCTAGATTTTTCGTCCCATCTGAAGTGAATTTTGGAACCATTTCTGAATTCAAAGCTTACACTCGCGTAATTTATTCCGATTGTTTTGATTTATTCAATTTGATTACGTACGGATTTAATTGCGTGTTTGCGATGACCGTTGATGACGATGACGTGTGGCGTAAGCAAACGTTCAACTCGCGTAAAATGCTAAGACAAAAATCCCCTGACTTTCGATGCAAAAAACCACTCCAAACGACGCTTTCTTGAATCAAAATCTCCAAAAATTCACAAATCCAAGTTCCTGATACTCTTAGACGACTTTATTATAAGTTTTTGCTCCAAAGCAATGTTTTTGGACTTGCTAAAAAGCAAATTCTTAAGGAGCTCCCTCGCGCGCGCGAGGATCGATGACTTTTGGAAATATTGTAAAAGAGCGGCTTAGGTTTTGTGCTGCTGTATGTAACTGCCCTAACACTGCCACTGAAATAAAATATTATTAGAATTAAATATCATCGAATTTAATTTATTAAAATATTATTAGAATTAAATATCATTTAATTAAATTTCATTGAATTATCCTTGAATTTTTAATATTATTTAAATACTATTAGGCTATTACATGACATTCACTTGCTGTCATTTTCACACTTTAATTTTAACTTTTTTTTAACGTTTTTTTTTATAATGAAAATAATCTCCGTTTTACTTACTAAAAGGCGAACACGTAACCAAGGTCCATTCAAGCCGTGATTCAAGTGAGTGCATACACATTACTATTCCACTGTATATAAATGTAAAACAAAATTATAACCTTCCGGCCTAAGCCTTTCAAATACATATAATAGAATACCCAATATTTACGCTGCCCAACTTACTTGATGTTACACATGCATATATACATTTTTCAAACAACTTGTTACACACCTGGTTACACTGTCAGATTAGTTACATTTACATATATAGTAGATATATACAATTGTGAACGTTTGCATGTCCAAACTTTATAAATAATTCTCTTAAATCACGATCCACAGCCTATACTCAATACCTACTAGTACTATCTACATATCCAAACCTGAAATAATTTTTGCATCAAGGTAGCAGTTACTGGGACATTTGTGTCTGGATAAAAAAGTGGTGAATTTAAATAGCTACCAGTTTCAATCAAATAACTACTTTAATTTCTGTATCAAGCCTCCTGGGTGTTATTTTCCCCCAAGCATCATTGAGGGAGCACTTGTTCTAAATATATGCAATAAATCTGCTTACCATTAAAAAATGTCCATATCCAGAATTGCCGTTGTACTATATTTTATTAAAATACTGCAGAAATGCAATATAATCCACGATTTGAAGAGTTAATTGAATGGGGGCTGCATGGTTAAAAGAGGGGGGTTATTTATTTTTGATTTTTGTATCCAAATGAGAGGGGGTATTGGAAAGGGGCTTAAAGAGAGGGAGGCTAAATATAGAAACTACAGTACCTCCATTCATTCCTCTCCCTTCCCAAACAAGCTGCAGCCGCATGAGAGGGGGCAACTGCAGGGGTTAAAGTGTGGATTGCAAGGTTGATGTACCTGGTAATATAGAGTAATAAGCTAGTAAATACATCCTTGCCTATAATTAGTTGCTGATTAAATGCTCAAAGATACACAGTGTGAAAAACAAATGGGAGATATCCACTGCAACAAACTTTCAACAAATATATATGGCCTTGTTCATTTCATTTTTTACTTTGTAATTACACGAGTAATTATAATTAAAAAAAAAAGTGTACTGTCATTTAAAGACTTTATATGTGCTCCATCTATATATGTTAATGTAATATCATATAAAAAAATAAATAAATGTGTTTATTATTAAAATATGTGATATATTATAATACTGTAAACCTCTGACTATAACCCCTTTTTCCCTATATGTACAGATTTTAATAACTACAAATATTTTCTTTTAATGATTTGGGCTAGGGACCTACTAGAAACCTTTACAGGCTTTTTGGTTTAGGCCCCTAGTTGTAGTTGTGGTTCATAATCAGGTTAATTAATATATTTACAGTTAAAGATAATGAAAAAATTAGAATATATGCTATTTACAATTTAAGAAGGATAGATAAAGCAGGAGTACTACAATAAAATATTTATGTTAAAATATCAATAAAAAATGAAGACCGTATAATTTTATACAGGATTCAGTAAAAAATACTGTTTCATTTCTTTCTTGAAGACATTATAGGAGTTTGTGCCTTTACATTTTGGTTCTAATGAATTCTAAATATCAATTCCTTTATTAGATAGACTGTGTTTTACATAGTTTGTTCTCTTATAACACTTACAGAGTTTAATTTTGATGCATTTCTTGTGTTGTATTGATGGATCTGATTATTTGTTACAAAAAATAATTTTCAAAAACTTCTGATAGATTCTTAAGATGGTGGTAATGAAACATAAACATAGCAGTTAAATAAAAATTTATTTTGCAAACATCTAGGATGCCAATTGATAATGACAATGTTTTAAAATATCATTCTCTGCTATTTTAAAAGACAATGTCAATGTTGAATAACATAGTGGGCTTATATTCAGGGGACTTATATTCAGGGTGGGGGGCTTATATTTGGAATGAGGTGAACGTTATATTCAGAGGTTTACATCATACAGTTGAAAAAAGCTTGTATTTTCTTGTCATAGACACACATTTCTGGGTGCATATAGAACAGCTTATACGTTGGATTCTCATGTCGATCCAATGGTAATTTGATATTGCTGCCATCACCATGATAGTATAGTGTAGCACAGAATGGCCTTGTATTATGCATGCAGAAATGCCTTGGTCATTCATTTTAGCCACTTGATCTTGCATCAGTCAGTGCATTTAGTGGAGATATATGACTATCACAATATAATTGGTTTAATACGCCAAGTAACATGTTGTACACATCAGGTAGCAGCTGAAATATTTTAATATTTGCCATAATAAGCCCATAACCTGTTGGCAAAATGACCAAAACATCTTCATCATTTTACAATGGCCGAGATACATTTGAATGTCTCATCTTTTAATGAAAATTCAAGCTCTCTTTTCCCTAGAGCAGCTTTAATTATTACTAGCTCTTTCAATATTTGCCATTGAATATAATTTAATAGTAGTGTGATTTGAAGCACGTATAAAAAATATTTTGTATACTATATATGAGAATTTGTTCAAACAAATATATCGATTGTGAGCGTGTGCCCGCGCGAATTTAGTAAGCAGAATAAACAAAAGCATAAAAGCGCATGCGCCATTTATCTCATTTTGGACTTCCACAGAGTCATGCCACAACATAACCCGCGAACAGGCATACTCTGGGAACGAGATTGACTCATAACCAGCTTCAAAGATGGCGACCAACTTATGGTTCCAGTTTACTTATAGTTCAATACAGTGACGCCGTGCCAGAGGGGGCCAAGGGAGCCATGGCCCCCCTAATTGTTGAGACCTGTCGGAAAATTGTCGATGTTGTCGGAAATTGTCAAAGTTGTCAATGGGGGGGGGGGGCTTGAAGATTTAAAATGTTGCTGTCCAGAAAAATTTTTTGTAGTACTGCCCTTGGCCCCCCCAAAAACATGGGTCCCATCTCGGGTCCCATGGCGCCACTGGTTCAATGCCCATTCTTGATTCCTCATGAACACCCAACAACTGCAACAAACAATAAATACTTGCCAACTGTAGTACTATATAACTCCCAAAGCAAACAAAATATAATTTACAAAATCTTAACGGCACTTTTTTCTGTGTCACTACAACTGCTGAGTCAGCTCGCGAACCCAAACACGTGTGAGTCCCCTTGATTAATAGCTTTAATTAAACGCATATTCTGCGAATAGAAACAAGTGTAAAACTTTACAAAACATGTTTATAACGTAGTCAAGCACATAATGAAGCACTTACCAACTTGATAAAGTCGCCCTTCGGGAGAAAAAATATTAGATATGTCGATCGCATTCAGCGCTTGTTCCTCGCGACATATTTTTGAATTTTACGATCTGAAATGGCGGTTCCTCTAGCCAGCGGTATTGGGAATAGGAAGAACTTCGTGTTATAACAAGTATAACATTAAATGAGCTTGACCACATGGTGAGAGAATTCCGCGAAGAATGATTGGTTCTGACAGTAAAGACAAAATGATAAACTTCATTCGTTGGCTGATTTGCTAGGGATTCTTCTCGTACAATTTTTAAAATTTAATTAAATGAAATAGTCATACCAAAAACACACAATTTACATGGTTAATTTAATAAACATATTTAATTTATGCACCACATAGTATCTGTGCAGTGTGCAATGTCTGCGCGAATACGTGTTCATGAACGTTGCCGCCCAATTCACTTGCATCTATAATGGTCTATAATTTAAATACTTGGTTAGATTAGTTCCATTCAAATCCCATACACGTAAAATCCCACAGCTTGTCAACAAGATGTGTTCGCACTGCTTGTTCCCAGTTGTTGACAAGTCTGGAACAAGTTGTCATCATCTTGTAACAAGGTTGGTGAGCCGATGAGGCCAACAGACTGGCAACAAGCTGTTCCAACCACTGATCTAATATTAGATCAGTGGTTCCAACAAATCTGATATCATTTGCACGTATACGTAACAAGTTGTTAACAAATTGATAAGAACAAGTTCAGTGAATAATAATATTCACTGAATATTAGTGTTGTTGGAACAACTTAGGGGCCATTCACAAAGGATGTCCGGCCAAATTATAGATTTTCAGACCCCCCCCCCCCCCCCCTTGTCCGGCATTGTCCGAATTAGTGACCCCCCCCCTCCCCCCGGACATCCGCCATGCCTCGCAAAAACTCACGCAACCTTGTATGTATCAAGAGTAAAAAACTTTTAGAACTTTTTTATAACTGTAAATGTGAACACAAAAACATATAAATTACTAATTAAAACAAAATCTAGTGTTAACCGCATAGTCAAAATGCCAATTTCACAATGGGAAGGACTGCTCAAAATAGAGGGAAAAAAGAAATTTGTTTTTGAATTTTTTTAAATTTCGGACATCCGGATTGCTAAAAACCCCCCTCCCCCCTATGTCCGAGTTTGTCCTGATTTTCCAAACCCCCCTCCCCCCTCGGCTCGGACATCCTTTGTGAATGGCC